GATGAGCAAACCTATGGGGAATAAAGATAATGGAGAAATAAAGGAACAATGTTATAATGCAAAAGAAAAAAAACAATACAAACCGCGTAACATCTGAAACCTTTAGGAGAGAAAAGAGATAAAAACAAACAAGCAAGACAATTTCCCAGAAATATTACTTCCCACATCAACTGTTACTCACCACTGACAATTCATGATGCCCAAAAAAAAAAGCTTGTGGAAAGTTTCACTGATAACAATAGTGAGATGACGATGGCTGATAATACGTCCTCATAATCATAAAGAAACAAACTATGCATACAGACGATAAATTTGGCGCTACTTTACCATACTCCATGCAGAGGAAAACTGCCTTCTGTTTCTCATTTAACTGAACTCTAATTTCACGGACATACAAATGCTTCCCCTATTGAGCACTACTCAAGAAAGCCCATGTAACAAATGTAATGCTTGAATGCAAACCATTTTACTCCTGACGAACAGAAGAAAGTACGCAGTTGGCAAATGAGGTGAAGGCCAAAAATTCGAACGCCATTACATATCAACAACACAGCAACAAGGAAATTTAGCTATCTTCCGAAAAATCAGAACAGCTAATTCGTTAACAAAATACTGAGCTAAATTTCCACTCAGATATTAGAATTGTCCAAATATTTACTGAATCGTATTCCCCAGGGAAAGCAACAAAATTCCGGAAGTAGCTCAGTATCAGCCCCTCCTCCCTGCTTCCGTTCACGTTCCCTGAAGGAAGGAAGTGGTTTACGCTTACTTTAATCAGATATTTGGTCATTTAGTCCACTAAAAGTGTAAGATGATCCGGAAAAGAGCAGCCGATTCAGATTGTGCATAATCACTACCGTAATTTCTGGACTTCTTAGCTAATAACAACCTTCGAAATAAGTGGTTAAAGATGTACAGGTAACGTTATCTTGAAATAAACTAATCAAAAAAAAAATTTTGTCGAAATCGATCAACAAACATCTCCCTATAAAAGGCAAATAAGCAAATCAACAGTGCACATGCTTGCAAACGAAGACAAATGAACCTCAGTTGGTGGGTACTACTACATAGCATTAAAACAATGTTAGACGTGAATTAATGGAACTGAATTTTTTTAGACTGATTAAAATAAATTTAAACTATACATATCACTGTACAGAAAAAAAAAGAAAATAATAATAATAATGGCATTCGCCAGCTCATCTTCTCCCAGAAAAGAATGATTCGATGGATGGAATTTCAAAACTACAGAAAGGAATCCGTTTCATAACCCAAATGATACTCAAGTTACGAACCATATCCACTCCCAACTGAATCATAACCCCATTAACAAATCGACTAAAGGACGGCTGTTCGATCAAATCCATATCAAAGATTCGTAACTATAAAAATGATTTTGTTTGAAAATTTTGGAAATCCCTAGATTTGTGGATATTATGTCCGATTATTTTAAGGAAAGAGAACGAAAAGACTGATATATTCAAATTAATCAAAGGAAAGAAAATCAATAAAACCGCAAGAAATTACTCCATTCCCTCTTTTTCCTGCCACCAAGGCCTAAAAATGGTGCCAGTTTCAAAACAGTGCTAAAATTTTATGATATAAACACGTAAACATTATATCAACAGAATGCTTAGTATTACTCACAAAAAGTGAAGCAAAACATGAAAAACACGAACACATTTTGGAAATTACTTTTAGAAATTAGCTTCAAAATTGAGCATTAAATCCATCTGGCTTGTGACATCACCACCTGTACTCATCGCTTCTCGACGTCGTCTTTCCTGAAATATAATTGCTTTCTTCTACCAAATTTTTTTAGTTGTTTACTTTTGCTCTTAGACGAATAACTTTTATTTCAACATAACATCCTCCACTCGCGGGAGAAAATTTATAAGTTATCTATTTACTGTAAGAGAATATGCTTGGAATTTAAGATTCTGTTAACAACACTATAAAACAACTATTTTAAAATGACCATCAACGACCTAAACTCCGCATAGAAGACGAAATAAAAGGGATACTAATCAAGGGAAAAATTGTACTTCCCTACAGTCTCGTACATAATTATGTACGATGAGGGACAACAATTTTCTTGTACATCCGCTGTGACAGGAAATTCATCAAAATGATGAGAATCAGCATTCAAAAACCAAATAAGTTCACATTCCCTCATATCCGCTGTATTTTCTTTTCTCTGCTCCACTTAACAATCATTGCAATATTAACAGAGCAGGATTACTTCAAGAGCTCAATTTATTGCTAAAATAATCTTAAAACACTATTTTTACACACTACTGCCTTGTGAATCCACCAAAATAAACCATAGATCTAACTTGTTCTTTTTGACGTAAAAGTTCATTTTGTTTTCTCTGTTCCATCTCAGCAGTTTCGGCTGCAGCCTGATCCTTAGCACGCTCTTTTTCTTCCTGTTCTTTCAAACGACGCCTTCGTTCTTCCTCCACTCTCAGCTGCTTACGCTTCAATTTGAAACAATGTAATCGTCATAGGATACCAACTTATACCATGTAGTTATAGCTACACAATGTTCGCCATTAACGAAATGAATAATATCCACTCCCATCAGTATCACTACCCCAAATAGTTTTCCAAGGATCGGATATCGAAATATCCGTTCATTTTTAGATACGTAACACTAGAACAACCTTTTCTTCTTTTTCTCTAGCATGCTTTCGGAATAACTCAAACTGCGTTGATGTTTGCATATTCAGACTACCACTCTGGCTTTTCTTCGCCAACGTGTCCCATCCAGCTAATTTTTTCACACCAGCTTTGTCCTCCATTTCTAAAAAAGCGTATTGTGAATGTAAAATTCTCTGGATTTATTCCACATAACACCTCAGCTTGGATAAAATTCGTAATCATTCCTATTCAGTTACCAACATCACATTTGCCATCTGCTTTAGAAGAACCTTAAGACTAAGCAAAAAGAAAAAAAATTGTTAGAACCATAATTAAATCGTAATGCTTCATATACCAAAATTATATTAGAATTCAATGCCAATGATGTTGCAAACACGGAAGACACCAACCACAAACCATTCAATGCCAACCGTCTGACCAAACTTACGAGTCCACCCGCTAAAGGATCAAGAGATTGAACTGCATACTTAATGACTCATCAGTTAGTGTTTCCAACGAACCGTTTTGCTTTGCTGGTAACAACTGATCAAGTATTGATCCTCCAGAAATTTGCAATTGTGCTTGCTGTGGTTGTACCTGTGCCTGCTGTGCGACGGGTAATGCATTACTCGAATTGACAGTAACAAGCTCGGTTCCTGTCATTGCTAAAGAAGCACTACCATCGTCCGTCTGCTCTTCTGAAAAATCAATCAAATATTCTTGCAAGATACTAAAGAAAACTAAATTATCAAATAACATTTACGAATCAAAACCACCCACATGATGGTAGAATACTACAGAATATATCTCTCAACAGACAGCTTGTTTGAACAAATTCCTTTCTGCGTAAGATGTAAAGGTTAGCGGAGATCAGTATATACTGATTTATACAGATTATATTTTCCCATACACTTCCTTGACTGCTGTATCCGTCACAGAAAATTTCCCATGTTCAAGAAATGGGAAGAAGCCAGCAGAAAAAAATACGAAAACTTTTTGGTGAATACAATAAAAAACTGTACTCACCAAGCGATAGCATACCCACCAAAAAAACTTCGTACAGAAAACACTAAATATAGATAGCACTAATGAAACCACCCTTCAACTGCCATCGCACTACCCCTTCTATATCCACAGGGATGAGGATAAGCTGTAAATTACCTTTGATATTCCCCAGATGTAGACGATTTGTAGGATGCTGCAATACAGGACCAAGCTGCTGTTGCTGACTGTTTGTAGATGGTGTAGTTGATGTTGTTTCCTTCTTCAAACAACGACTTTTTAATTTCGAATCAAGGATACTCTAATTTAATGCGCATTCAAAGTCGTACTTCTAGCAGTTCAAAAAGAAGTATGGCTTATTTAGCACACAGAGCATACACCACAAATCATTGAAGCAGTTCAGAAGCCACACCATCTCGCACAATCCTGAATTTCTTTCATACTTTGCTGATATTAAACCAAGTATGGGGCAGAATTTCACCTTGTCCGTTGAATGCTCAGCACTTTGTGACTTTTCAGTACCAACACGTTGTCCCTGGTGTTCCACTTTTGCATTACCTGTGGTCTCTGAAATAGTAACCGAGAGCCTTAATTCATGTTGATAAAAAGCTTAGTAATGAAGAAATCAAAGACTCCAACACAATCCCCTGAGTCAAGGATAATCACACTTTACCTTTACATACAAAACTCTCGCTTCTGTACGAATGGTGATTGACGCTTATCTTTACTTTCCCATGTTATTTTCCATAAATTGCATGGTATCAGTATGAGTAAAAATGACTTATTTTATCGATGAAGAACGAACGATAAATACGCGTGCTGTGGAATCGAACTGGACAAAACAACAACAATATTCCATGCACAAAAAACAAAAACAAAAGTAGTCAGCAATTCATCATCAACAAGTAATGATAAGATCGTTGCAATGTGAAATGAGAATCTAATTATTAGTCAATTACTGGCATTTTTAAACGGAAATAGCGCTGATTTCAGGGAAAGTGTAGCGAGAAAAGAGAAGATGCACTATGACAGTATTACCACGAAAAACATGGAAATTATGAAATAAGACTTGAAAGAGAAAGTGGTAAGAGCTTCAGTGGTTTCATGAGTGACAAGTATCAGATAAATCCCAGTTATCAGTTAGAACATGGGGCAGGAAACAGCAGAATTTAAAAAATTCTATCGATTTAATGTAACATCATGCCAGATATAAACAGCACACCCACTCCCGATATTCAAAAATTACAAAAAATTAAACAGATCATTCCTCGCTGGCTCTTTTTAAACAAAAAATTAGAGACGGGTCTATGATTAGAAAGAAAATGAAAACGAAGAAATTATGAAATAGAGTTCGACAAAAAATTTGACGAAACAAAAGCAATCAAAAAAATTTTTGCACATCACAAGAGAAGTAAAAGAAATAACCACAAGAGAAGTGCGGAATAACAATCTCTAGACAGTGTTTTCATTTCTCACCTTATTCTCCTGTCTCTTTTAAATTTAAAAGGAATACCAAAATACAACAAATAAACCCTTTCCGGAAGTGCAATTCCACTTCAGGTTATCAACACAAACAGTGATTTCTTCTTTCCGACAAGTCCACTATCCCTCCACAAACTAAGTGGACAATTGTCCTAACAAGTGATGTGCAAAAAAAAAGAAATCCAGGAAAAAAGGTTGGTCCTATAAATTTGAAAAAAATGGCTACCGTTGTATATCGGAAACGGTGAAGATGGCAAATGGTTCCGCTCTGGTAATCATTGAGATTTGTGAAAAAAGCGACAGAGAATCACAGAATTGCGATTTTTTGTCCCTAATTACTTCGCCTCGCTTCAGCTTACAAAATGGTTTTTTAAATTTTTTTTTAAAAAAAAACTTTCCCTATTGACAAGCGTCAACCACCGTTTATAGCGAGAGATTTGCATGCGACTGTGTTGCCTGTTGTAGATATTGCACTTACGGGCACAACCTTACATGGATAAATAATAGCATCACATATTCCTGATAACCGAGCTTTCGCCATTTAAATAAATCAAAAGAGCACCTTCTTTAATTATGAAACAACGCTCCTTTAAGCTATATATAATAGGAATCAACAATCAAGAATTAATGACATCAGTAATAAATTATTATCGCTCTATGCTGGCACACTGACATTAATAACGGTTCAAAAAAACGAAATGCCTGAACTAAGCCGCTAAATTACAACAAATGCTAATGAGGTAAGTAAAGAAAATGAGTTTATAAAACAAGATCAAATAGACAAGAGGAACAAATGAAAATGAGGAAAAACGCTGAAATGGGTCCTTAAAATCTATCACCTTGTCAAATAACACTCTAACCTGATTCACTATCTGAGGAATCCGAAGATGACGAATCCGACGATGAGTCATCTTCACTTGAAGAGGAATCTGAAGACGATGGTTCACCGCCTTTACCCGTGGTTGTCGGCTCTGTTCGTGCACCGTTTTGTGCTGGAATAAAAATTAAAATGCTTTGCAAAGTGGAAAACTAGGGAGACTGAAAGACTGTCCGAACAGATGATAATCGGAATCTTGAATGAAATTTCAACCAGTAGAAACGACCAACCTACAGTCACAGGTGTTGCAGTGATCACTCCACCCAGGCCTTTGATTTTCTCTTCCAGCTCTCGTTTCTTAATCTCAACTTCCTTCTGCGACTTCGGTGCTGCAACAACAGAACTATTAATATTCGAATTATTATACTTGTAAAGATACAACACAGTGACACAGCAAGAAATGAGACATACTGTACGGTTTCCTCGGTTTCTTCTTCAAGCATGCAGCAACAAATGCTTCTAACTCGCGCAGCGTAGTCGCCTTAAGAGTCTCGAAATCAATTTCAATTTCTTCAGGGTTGAACCCCGGAAGCTGTTCTCGAGACTCAATAATACTGACAACCTGAAAATATGGAATATAAATTGAATCTACATAACACTCATTACAGTTCTATAATGATATATTATTTCTCCACGGGTTACAATAAAAACTAACCTTTGAACTGGCGCAAACTTTTCAGGAATCCCAAAATGAAAAGTACTCTTTTTTATGAGAAATAAAATATCGATCCAAAAAATTAGGATATACTGCAATTACAAATCCAACCATTTCCAAAATACAGAATTTATCAAAAACTTACGCTGCTCAGCTTATCACCCGGTAGTTTGTTGATGTCCAGCGAAAGTTGTCTTTTTTCATCATAACTCATTGGTTCTGCAGTACGTTCATCTTCCGAATCGAAGTCATAATCTTCACGCACCCTTCTTGATCCAGATTGTCGTGGTGCAGCATCTGTAACCGGTGTACCCGATTGTGTCACATCCGTCTTTGGTTTATTTTTAGAGCCGGGCTGCCGACCACGCTTACGCGCCGCTGACGTTGGTATATTTTGTTCCGGAGGTTTTTGAGGTGTTCCCTGTGGTGGTACCGCTGCTGTCGCAGGACGTACACCTGGAGCAGACACATGCATCGAATTTTGGACTTGACGTTGAGCAGAAGCCTTGCTCACCGGTGCATTCATTTCTTGCTTCGGTTCTCGCTCCTGAGATGATATCTCCGCGGCAACATTATTCGTACGCAGTCCTGCAGCTAATCCTGAGGTTTGTTGTTGGTAAGTCCTGGCAGGACGGCCGGGTTTTTTGCGTGACACAGAGGCACCGCCACTACTGGCTGGAAATGCGGCGGATGGCTTCATCATCGGAGTTGGGCTACTGGCAATGAAAGAAAACTGTGTTGAAACCAAAGATTGAAGGGTGCCTACAGTGGCTGCCGAAAGAACCGGGACCGGCAGATGATTTGCTTGAGCTTCCCTTCGTTTCAGCCTATAACGGTATCAAAATCAACAACAAATTCATTAACATTTGCACGTTGCTATACTTCCCGTTAAGCTAATTTTTCATTCCCATTTCCGTTACATGAACTAACATGAAATTCTAGAAACCAAAGAAGGTAAAAATCAAACCTCAACGACAAAATTTCCTGAGAATGACGCTGAAGCTCAGATATTTTTTCCTGACATTTGGCAGTTTCAGTTTGCAAAGCAAGTAAAATGAGATCAATGTGTTCATCACTGTCAATAACACCTGAAGAAACATCTAGTGGCACAAGAGGAAGACCAGGCACCACTGATTCATCCTTGACTATTGTGGAAGCGGATGTGACCACATGAGCTGGTGGTGTAACATGACTTATTGGTGTGGAGACCGCTGCTGCCACCACCTGTGTTGCCGCTGTCCCCTCATCAACTACTGCTGGCTCCTCAGGCATTTGGTGCCACTTGTCTTCGAAATATTTCTGAAAATGCTTTAGTTACGAAAATAAATCTTTAGTGTTTTTTGAAATCAAATTTTTAGTCGAGTAACCTGAAGAGCTCGACCATGCTGATGAATTGGATCTGACGTGGGGTTGTATTTGTAGCAGTTCTCACAAACTAATATAACATCAGCCCGTAGTTCTTCCGGTGTAGCATACTGCTTAGCATCCAACTTCCTCCTTAAAACTATTATTTACTTGAGAAGTATTTTATGAAAACAGAAATAGAAAAGCAATGGTCTTTTTTGAATATGGAATACTGATTGATTAGTGGAAAGGAATCTTAATATTCAAACTTGCTTCAACTCAATCGATTATTCTGGACACAAACATAATTTTGAAATCAAGAAGGACCAGCAAATGAGCAATTTGCAGGCCACAGCCAGCAACGTTAACATTCTAAATGAAAATAATCGATAGCCCATTACCTAATCGTTCCCAAATCCATTGGATTCTTCACTATATCATAGTAATCTTCCAATTTTAAACCCTCGACGTCCACTGGCTCGAGAAATGGCCAAGTAAACGATTTGCACTTCTGAATATATGCTAATTCTATAGAGCTGCTAAAAACGAGCAAATGAAGGAATGTTACGGTCCGATCCAAACAGCCAAACAAGGAAAAACTACGATAGCCAAAGGTACCACTAGAAAAAACCTCATTCATCAGCATCATTTATAAATACCTTTCGTTTCATCATACAGTTCAAATTCTTAGAACCAATATTATATAATAGACGACATACTCCACACTGTTCTACGATAAATCCAGACAGAATTCCTTGAAAATGTGTTTGCATCCCAAACAACATAGTTTACTGCTGTTTACCTTCGTGAATAATTCATTGACAAGACGCTGACAAAATTTCATCTGTTCAGTTTGTTTTCCTTTAAAACGAGGCTTCAACTGATTATAATCGATGAAGTAATTTGGCTTTTTAGGGGGTCGTCCAGATTCTCGACGAGTCGCAATCTTCGCACTTACGACATCATCACCAAATGATGTTGTTGTATCTGCCTTCCGTTTGACACCTTTCTGAACCTAAAACTAGTTAATATACAAGCTGGAGAACAAACCTACGTTCCTACTGTCGAGAAACACCGAAATGTCCTCATCGACTACAAAATTTATCAAACGAAATTGTAGATGACATCAGTAAGACTTGAACCAAAAATTTCAAGAGGAAAGTAGGCATAAATTTTTTAAGGAAAGCAAAGAACCTTCGAAGGAAGAACAGGTTGAACAGGAGCTTGTGATGACGTTGGATGGACATCATCTACAACACCTGATGCAGAAGCATGAATAGCTCCATTTGCTGCAGCATCCAAAACCGATGAGCTGTCGGCAGCCCCACGTTGTACAGATACAGACGATTCACGGCTTCCTGGGGGAAAAGGAACTCATTAACTATCAAGTACAAGAAGATAAATTTGAAATTGCCTACTCACAAAATTGCAAGAAAACAATTTACCTCCTTTAACGATTGCAACACGACCCGTTGACTTCTTCGATTTACCAACAGCTCGTTTAGCTGTTGGACGTGGTATTTCCACTTCCTGAAATGAAAAGTCAGGAATACCAGAAGTAACACTGATAAGCTGTAACTGTAAGAAAAAAAAAGAGGACGGAAACAAAGAACATTCACAAACCTGTGGAATACTGCACGTATCGCACAGTGTGAAAGTTTTAAAAATACCTGAGGCGGTAGAAGCTTCATTTTTTCTCTGTACAAATTTTCCACATTCTTGCACATAAGTGATACATCGTCTTCATTTTGGTTGAATTTGTAGCAGTTGGAAAAAATGGACTCAAAATCCTGAAAGCTAGCAAAAACAGATGTAATGAATAATTAAAAAGCCTTACTTCCGGGGGCATCGCTGCGAGCTTGGTGAGAATGTACTGTTCCAGGTTCTTCGCCATCATATAAACCCCGTACTCAGGAGGGTTGTACGTGTAGCAATTGTTGAACATTGTCATAACGTCCTGAACAAAGAGAACCGCGCTTAGCTGCAGCTATTTCAAGCTTTAAAGTGGCAACAGTTTTTGCATAACAAATATTTCAAGCTGCACCAATTACCATCCACTCCCAAGCAAACACGACGAACTATACAAAGTAGATTCTTAAGACATACACGGTTTCTTCCTCTCAATAATTCGTGGTCCAGAATGATCTAATAATTTGCACAGTTAGGATTCACAGAAAGGATTTACTTCGGGAGGAATCACTTGCGGCATTGAAACGAAACTCGGGACTTCAAAATACGAACATACAGAAGAACCCATCAAATACGTAACATGACCGGAAATTTAGTCAATGTCGGAATTTGAAAAACCAAAGATCAGCCACTCTGCGCTCAAGTCTCACAACTAAACTCGAAAATTTTTAGGGCTAACAATGTATAACAGTTGAAGAGAATATTGGCTAAATTCTCCGAACTTTGGAATACTTTTTAAGCCTTCTTCCTTTATCTCAGTATTTGGTCTAGCACTCTTCGAATTACTGTTCTAACAACCTAAGTCAGCTTAATGCGAGATATTCTGAAAACCAAAGATAACATACAGTAGAATAAAACAGAAAAAGTCTCCAATTTCACAACATTTTTATATGTACATTTACTACCAAAGGAAGGAACACAGAATTTCAATTGGATCCCACACTTATCACAAAAGTCTAAGTTGCAAGGACGATACGAAAAAGTTCCAGAATCGTGAGATTTCTGACAAATAAAGCAAAGAGACCTAAACATTTCAGCTTCTCTCCCCTCTCATCCTATCTTCGCAAACGCAGTAAAGGAACAAGTCTGTGAGATGCAAAGTATATAGAATTAAAGCGTATATATGAGACATTATCCTAGCGCAGATATCAACAGAAGAGGAACTGACCCATCAGTTATGCATTTTCCTTCATATCTATGGTGCCCATTTGCAAAACAATAAAAAAAACCATGCATGTTAAATGAACAGTAGCACAGACTCAGCTGTGCAACTACTGGAACTGCAGAGACTGAAGTGCTTTTGATAATACTATAATTGCATGCATAATACAACCATTCCATAACTGTTCACACGTTCCCATCATATTTGATTCTAACTCACCTAGCTGGTAAGGAGTGATTTCCTTTCCCTCATCGTCCTCAACAAGTCTGAATTAATGAAAAAGTTCCTGGTATTAAGTAAACTACTATCAAGGATCATTTCCTAAACTTTCAAATAATTCAAGTCCC